AAAGCATCACCTAGTTGCAACTAGTTGCAGCTTATAAAATTTTGGAGTTGTAACGTGTTGCAACGGGTGACAAATAAGCGTCACATACTTGCTGCGCCATCTCTACTAAAGAATTTTGTCATTATTTGAATATTTTTAAATTTTCATGTTTTTTAATTATTTTTGAATTTGTGATTTTTATGTTACTATTGTAACACTATATTAAACTTTAGTTTTGATTTAAAATATAATTATTATTAAGTTTCATTTTCAATATATTTATATTTTTTTTGTGTTGTATTTCATATAAATTTGTATTTCAAAATTGTAAAATCTGATAAATCTAATAATCTATCTGAAAAATAAATTAATAAAAATACATAAATTTTTGCTTAATTCAAAAGAATAAATTTAAAGCACAAATATAAAAAATAAAAAATAAAAAACATGAAAAATATCTAATTAAAGAAATATACTAAATATATACAATTCATTTAATAGAAATACATAAATTTTTGTCAATTATCAATAAAAATGCACAAATTTTTGATCAATTCAGCAAAACAAATCTGACACATGAAAATGTAAGAATGTGAATATTACAAAAAAATTAATGCTTAAACCTATTTTAAAATACTAATTAAAAATATTAGAAAGATGATTTTATATATAATTTTGTTCTCTAATTCTAATTTTTATTCTTATTTTAATCTTATAAATTGCACATTGAAAACTAAATCACATATTCATTACACTTTAACGTATTTCAAATACAAAGATCTATTTTTAAATCTTATTTTAATTGGTTTAATTCCATGATATGTATTACCAATTGAAAAATTCTTCTTTTAATGGATAATACAACATGTTATTAAGTTGATAATATCAATTTATGTTTTATCTTCTAACACTATTTCAATTATTCAACCTATAAATCAAAAAATATTATATAGTTTGAAGATTAGTAATTTTATTATTGTGTTTGTTACTACTATTTATTATTAATTAAAGCACAATATAAAAAGTTTTTTTGTTTTGAAAAATTGTCACCTATAAAAATTAACTGATCAAGAAAGTGAGCTTCTAAAGACTTCAATATATTATATATTAATCATACATAATATTCTTTCACCTTCCTTTTCATCTGAATTATTACCTGAATTGTCAGCTTTAATGAAAAAGTTGAGGTTATTGATCTAAGAAAAACTGAATTACAAAAACTAGAACATGAATTAGATCAACTAATTCAACAGCTTTCTATTACAAAACCACTTTCTGCACATGAAATTATATCCATTGATGATGATTTTGAGCAAGAAGAGAAATTATGGATGTGGATTAGAGGATAAAAAAAATGAGGAAAAAATTTCTCTTAGTGAAGCATTGGATAGTATTGAAGCTCTTATTATATTTATTAAGCAATCTGAATGGAGTGTTGACGCGAATTTTTATAATTTAGTTAAGTTACCAAAGGAATTTGTTATCCAAGATATAGCCCAGAAAAAACAAACTATCGTAAAGCGCTCTGTATAGTATCCCCTTTGTAGAAAATTTATACCTCAATTTAACCTCAAGGCTGTTAAACCAGTAACTAAATTTTTTAAAAAATCGCATAGTGAAATCTAAATTTAATTATTTGCGGAAAAATAATTGATTTACTAAAAAAAATTGAACTAAATTGTGTTACAAATTTTCTACAAAGGGGGACACTATACCGCTTTATGGTAGTATCGATCAATTTTTTTTTGTTAATTCTTGATTATTACAATTTAATTAATTTGGATTGGTATAAGTCTGGTATAACGAAAATTTTTGATTGATCATATATCGGAGCAAACAGTGGGAACCGAGTGGTCCGTTATATCGACGTTGACTGTGTATGTCAATTGATAAACGTGATTTATTTGGGCAGACGGTCTTATTCATGGTAAGTCATAATTCGGCTATAATAATCTTGTTTAATTTGTCAAAATATTCGCCACACATCACGTGATTTACAAAATTTTGTTTTTATTATCGTTATGGATTCACCAGGGCGATCACTGAAAGTTCTGCTCACGTGACAATTTTTTGATGATGTCAGCAATGATGACCAATTAAATTAAATTCAAAAATAAACAAAACAAGTTTTATCTCATCTTGTGTTCTAAAAAATGTTCACTACCAAATAATCTTGACCCTAGTCATGGCAAAATAAAAAGGTCGGATCACATGTTGATTGTGGCACAAACCAATAAAAATGCGTAAATTTTTTATCAGCTCGGCAAACAAATCCGGCGCAAGAAAATGAAAAAAGTAAAAAATACGGGAAATAGATGTCTAAATCACTAAAAAAAGGAGTTGGGAAGACAATTTTACATATAAATTAATCTTTATATTACCGTAGAATTTTTCCGGACATACACAAATATCACATGATCCGACCTTTTTTTGCCGTGGCTAGGGTATTACTTTTCGCATCGTGACGTCATCAAAAAATTATCACGTGACCCGAACTTTCGGTGGTACCCTGGCGAATTCTAAAGTTATAGAAGTTCAAAGGTATTGATAAAGTTTTATCACATTACTGCTATTTATGAATTTTTAGCACCAGTAAAAACACCAAAAATATCAAGATAATTTTTGCAATTTTTTTATTTTCTGATTCTATCCATTCTGTACTGCTAATAAGTTAAATAATGATGAAAGTCAAATTGCAGAGGCCTTGGATAGTTTCTTTCAACTTTATGATCCTCACATGGTTACACAATTGGATTTTTATATTTGGCGCGTAAAAAATCGTATTGCACTTTCTATTCGATCAAAAAATTCAGAAAATACTTGCTATAATAATAAACGTACACAAATTAATCAACTTGGAGGAAAATCAAGATCACCAAGCTGTAATTATATTTTATAATTTGTCTAATTTGTTTATTTTTTAATTTGTTTATTTTTTAATTTGTTTATTTTTTAATTTGTTTATTTTTTAATTTGTTTATT